AACTGAAAGAATAGTTGGTTTTTTATTTGTGGCGTTGCAATGAATGCTAATCTGCTTTTGATGTACTTTGGTTTACATTGCTGATTATTGCTCTTTAGTTTTGCTGAATGCGTGCATTACGCAGAGAACGCGCATACATTTTCTTTCATTTTCTAATACCTCTCTCTCTCTTCTATATATATATGTGTGTGTGTGTGTGTGTGTATGCAGGTACGTCTCTATTGCACAAGATGGCAGAGGTTGCAACAAGGGTAAAGTTTTTTGCCTTTCTAATGTATCCTTTGAATTCATACGGGAATACATACAGTACATTGGCAATGTGAAAACATCACCTGCCTGCTATTTTATTTTGACTTTATGTTTCTATCACTTTCGACATATGTACATATGTTCTTACATATGTTGTATAGGGTCATTCATATGGTGGGACAAATGGTGGCCCAAAATCGGTATTTGATTTGGAAGACTTTGTTGGGGATTTAACTGTCGAGGATGATGCAAGCAGGTATGATTCACAACTGATACGTCAGATTGCTGATTTTGGAGATCCCTGCTTATTTATTTATTTTTGTATTTTTCTTACTAACTCTGATTCCTTGAACGGTGACCTTGCTTACTATTCTTACTTTTGGGATTTAACACATTTTTGAAATTATTTGTTGTAGCCATGGCAGTAGTATGCTCCTAGACTTTTGTGATATTGGCAATTTGGTTTGCTACTAGGGAATATGCTGTTGTGCTAATTGTTTAGCTGTATTTTAATGTCATTACACCAAAAGATATCCTGCATGGCTAAGGGAATTGAAGTTCTGCAATGTTGAAAACATTAAAATGACTAGAATGAGATAAATTTACAGAATTTCGTGAAGTGCTCAAATATATGCTGTAACATCCATCTACACATTCTTTTACCGACACAGTTGTGCCTCCATTTCTAATTATTTCCTACTACGTTTGTGGGCCAATTTTATTAATGTCAATTTCACATTGGAATCCTGAATTGATATTTGGTTGTATTGTCACAGTGATGATATATCACTTGAAGGACTAGAGCAAGAGTTGGAAGAATGTAAAAATGATGATGTAAGTGAACTATAACCTTCTTTTCCAGTCACCATTGCATGCTTGTCTTGTTGATTCTTCTTCAGGTTGCACCTATTTTTAACTGTACAGCCATTCCTTCTGTTTTTCCTCATTCAGACTCTTAATTTTTGTTACAAGTTTCCTTTGGATAAACTTAAGATTGCATATTCAGTTCTAAACAATTCAAAGAATGTTTAGCTTAGATATCCTGTTGATGGTTACTACTAGTGAAAAACTATCTTAACTGAACTTCTTGCGTTACCTCCAAGTTACCCATTTAGCCCTATGTGACACCTGTATGGATAGGAAATGTGCAGTTACATCACAGTCATGCCACACTGTATGAAATGAGAGGAAGAGAAGAAAGAAAGGAATGGAAGGACACAAGGAAGAAAAAGTACCTATGTTTCATGAGAGTAGTCACCATCAGTGCCCGAAGCCTTTGCTGGTGGTGGAATTGGTCACTGAAAGTATAGGGCAATGCTAATGTTTGCCCTCTTGTTTTGGTTTTGGTGGTAAAAAAATTGTTTTTGATGAATTGCAAACCATGGTGAACTATTGATTGTGAAGATAAATGCATGGTAGCATATGTTTAACTGAAATCATGGCCTATGACAGTGCATGACAGTGCAGAATAACATAATAGGATTCTTATAGCTGGCCCTAAAAGCAGTTGGGATGTTGAGTTGATTCAATGTAGCATTGTTTAAACTCTTCTTATATTTATGAAGTTGACACGGTCTTTGTTATTAGGATTGTTGTCTGGATTTTGTTTCTTCTATAAACTCACAGCTGGTTGAGCCCTTATATAACCATATATTTTGTTATTATTTCAATTATTTGTCTTGTAGGTAGTTGCAAACATACTGTCTAAAGGTACAAAATTGCGGGAGTACACGAAGGGTGTTGAAAACAATTTACGGCAAGTTGAATTGGAATCGGTTCAGGTTGGTAATTAGGTTACAGATTTTATATTGGGAACCAATGGTTTTATTGTTATATTTACCTTCTTTTACTTGTAAAATTTTGTGTAGGTTTTATCTGTTTCAAAATTTTCTGTCACTTTCCAGAAAACAAGTGTCTTGATGGCCTTCCAAGCAGCAGATAGTTTGCAAATTTTAATGTAACATGACAATATTATAACCAAAATAAACATATTGCTTCACTTTTCTGAAAGAATTTTGTTAATTGTTTTGCCATTTTTTACATTTGTCATCATAGTCTACAAAAAGAAACATTGCAATTTTCTTCAGTGAATATGAAAAAGCAATTGCCATTTTGTTTTTGTTTTTGTTTTGTTTTGTGTTTTTTTTTTTTGTGTGTGTGTGTGTGTGGTTATTTTTTGAATTTCATTTCAAACATGCATTTGGTACATTTGTATGGGCAAGATGCTTTTCAATTGTATCTTGGTATATCTTTCTTCTTCACTGTTGTAGAGTATCTTTATTCATATAATTAGTTTCTCGTTTGTTTCCATAACAGGATTATATAAAAGAAAGTGACAACCTAGTCTCGCTTCATGACCAGATCCGTGATTGTGATAGCATTCTGTCGCAAATGGAAACACTACTCGGTGGATTTCAGGTATCTTAAGACATCTTATGTTCACTTGCATAGTGGCTGCTTCTTTATTATTCCTATTGGCGATTAGGCATGCAGTTCGAATTGTTGGATTTCGTATATCTGAAACTGAATAGGAGGTTATCAATGTATTTTGCTGGAAAAGGGGTAGAACTTGAAATAATTATCCTATTGGTGTCGCTTATCCTATTGGCGTCACCTTAGTGAAATTTATCAAAATGGTGTGGAATACTTTTTTTTAATCTCTTGGCATTCCTCACTGCTGCAAAGGGATACCCTGGCAAGCCCACCTTATAAAAATAACTGTCAGTTCAGATCCAAATATAAACCCATCAATTTATTTTTTCCTTATCCATAATTCTAAAGAAAGTTACCTAAATTTTGTTTGGAGAAATTACATATATACGCATGTATGTGTGTATAAAATGCATTTTATGTGTACATTGCTTATCTCCTGTCAAATTTACAAAATCATGTGTGATATTGCTGCAGCAAAACTTTTGTAAATTGTATCCTAGTTTCATTTCCAGTTCATGAGTATAAATTACTTGATGGATCAGGAGCTTTTTTAACCTGCTCTTACTGGTTAAAGTTATTACCTTGCTTTGCTGTTAAAAATCAATATTAAGCTCTTTTTCTGGCTTCAAGTTGGCAACTGTGGCACTTACTTCTGCTTGCTGGGAAGTGCTAGTCAGCATCCTCGTCAACTTAACTAGTATTTATTGAGATATTAGTAAGTTCACAATTGTCAAAGGGTAACTCAAAATACACAATAGGACAACACATTTAGGCCAAATTCAGAAGTAGTAGTGATAGGGGTTCACCTGGATAACCTTCACCTACGAAATCTTTATTCTAATATATGGCTCATATGGCCATGCTTTTTCAAGCATACTACGCCTACAGAATCTATATAGGGACCAACTGGTCCTATTGCTCTGAATTCCTCTGCTTCAAAAGAAATAATGGCTAATGAGTGGACAGAAAATTTGGAACACTTTCTTATTATGTACTCCTCATTTTTTTTTTTGGGAGTGGATTATGTGCTAGCTTTTGTTATTTATTTCTGTTTAATTCCGTGGAGAAACATAATGCTTCTCTCTCTCTTGCTTACTATTGTCATCTTGAAATCTCGTGTCATCAAAATTATTAATATTCCAGAGAAATTGTGCTAGGCTGAGATTGGCTCTATAAGTTCAGACATAAAGATTCTTCAGGAGAAGTCAATGGATATGGGACTGAAGCTGAAGAATCGCAAGGTACTATTGTTACTATAACCTATGTATGTTGTTTAAAAAATAGTGTTAATAATTATAAATCATAGTTTAATAAACCACATCGAATGGGCTCTTTATTCATTAGTACTTTTGCTTTGTTTTTTGTTTTATATAATATAGGTTTTGCTTGTCATGTTATAATTTCATTTATTCAATGTGCTGATGTCAGTGAAGTGGACATTGCATTATGTTGAATTTGTGAAGAAGCTCTTATGAAAAAGCACTTTTTCTTTTGTTCCTTTGAAGAATAGAAGAATGTGTTTCAAATATCGTGTGCGCCTTGTAAAGGATATTGCTATCTGAAAGAAGTGGCAGTAATGGCTTTCTCTAGTGCAATCTAGGGTTGGTGGGTCTCATTGTACTTTACACTGACATGCTTTTTTTGATTATTTATCAACAGAATCAACATCCAGAGAACATGCTCATGCTTAAGAGCAAAGCAAAAATTTTCTTCTTTATCTTCCTTATAAGATTTATGTGTTTTGGGGATGAAGGATACTTGGATTGTACCAAAAGAAGAAAAAGAAAAAGAAAAAAGAAGGGTGTACTTGGGTTGCAATAAGTGGTCTCATGTCAATGATTTAGTGATGTAGGACACGTAGGGAGGACTTTTAAAGCTGAATTTCAGTAGGTTTTTATTGTGATTTAAGCTGAAAAGCAATGGGAAATTTAGGGCTTCTTCTAGTGTATGGAAGAATTAGGGTTAGGGCTTAATGTAATAAGAAGGAAGATTAAATTTGGGACTGTTTTGGGTGCTGAGAACAGTACCTGTGAACAGTGTTTTGGACTGTTAGAAGTGCAGAAAATAAAAAAGGGAAAGAAGAGAGAAGAAGAAGATGGATCTAGGAATCACTCCTAGAATCCCTTAGGCTTCACACCTAGGGTTTGATTGCATTGCACAATCCATAAAGAAGCCTCAAAAGTTCTTGAAATTTTCTAAAATATTAACTCAATTTTGTAAGGTTGAAAATGGGTTTCCAAAAACCAGCTTTTGTAAAACCATTTTCTAGAAAATGGTTTTTGAAAACCCGTTTTCAGCCTTACAAAATTGATTAAAATAATAATAAAAATATAACACAGAAACCAGCTTTTCAAAATACGTTTTTGATTAAGTTACCTTTCAAATTTAACTAAAAAAACCAGCTTTTGTAAATACGTTTTTATAGAATTTTTTTATTTTTATTTTCAACTTAAATATTTTTATTTTTAGCAAAAAAAATTTATAAATGGCATTTGTAAAACTGTTTTATAAACACAGCTTTACAAAACCCGTTTTTTAAAACAGTTTTACAAATGTTTTTGTAATTTTTGTTTTTTTAAAGTGACCCAAAACACTAAGGCAACACAACACAACATCAAACAAACAAATGGGAGAGGGAAAAAAAAAGTGTGATTGAAGAAGAAAGAGGCAAAAAGAAAAGAACACAACACCAGCAACGAAATGAAGACTTATCTAATATTTTGCTTAGGCTCGATGAATTGGAATTCCATGACAATATATTTGTGACCAAATAAAATAAAATGAAACATTGGCCATACTTGGTTTGTATTTTAGGAAAAAAAAATCAATTTTTTTATATAAAAAAAAATGAAACTAATTGAAAATGTCATTATTGGCGATTATTGCCATTGGCGATGTTTTGGTTTTTTTTTGTTTTAATTTTTTTAGAAAATTGGCAAAAAAAAAAAAATTATTGTCCAATTGCAATATTAGAACAATTATGCACGACTTCGCCCCGAAACCTAAGATTTGACATTTTAAGTAGGAGATTGTGTTTCAATTATCTCAATAATTGTTAAGTGTTGTAATTTTAACTTTAATTATGTTGACTATTAGCCTACATAACTAATTAGTAATTTATTTAGTTTGTATATGGAATTAAGTTT